GATATCGGCCGACCGGCTCAACACGTTGTACGTGTGAGTGCTGATAAGCTATGGCATATAAGCCATTAAGAAGGCGAGGGCAAGCGGGGTCTCGGTAGTGTAAGGGATAAGAGCACGGTCCCCGGAAAGGACAAGTACGGGTTCGAGTCCCGTCCGAGACTGGAGTTTTGCCCACAAATCGCCAACCTTGTGAGACTTTCGCTTCGCGCACTGCGGCGTTAAAACAGCAGTTAACAAAAACATCAAGTCAAAACAAGTACTATCATGTAAAGCTTACAGCTTATCGGTTCTGTGCTGATATCGGCCGACCGGCTCAACACGTTGTACGTGTGAGTGCTGATAAGCTATGGCATATAAGCCATTAAGAAGGCGAGGGCAAGCGGGGTCTCGGTAGTGTAAGGGATAAGAGCACGGTCCCCGGAAAGGACAAGTGCGGGTTCGAGTCCCGTCCGAGACTGGAGTTTTGCCCACAAATCGCCAACCTTGTGCAACTACATATGTATTTCTGAGACTTGCTTCATTCCAACACCAGCTAATGACTGCTGGCATCCTATGCGAGAACTCTGTTATCCCCATTCTGACACGTTGTATCGAATAGACAGCCCTTGTAAAAGAAGCTTCTGACTTTCTCATCATGTTCTCTCATCGCGAGTTCGACAGTTCATAAGTTCATTAGTTCCTTTAACGAATTAACAATAAGAAAAGCAGCGTGGAATTTTAGAGAGAAATGCTAAGTTCAAGCTTGGTTGAATCTGGCACGGTACAGGGGAGGAAGCCCTTAACTATGTATATGACTGGATAGGTTAAGTTCACATTTTGAAAAACTGCTTTTGAAAAATTACTATTTCTATGACCGATTTACGGCTCCATTTACGTCTAACCGATCGGACATCTCACTCCTGAAGCTTTCTTCGAAGCGATGGGCAACCATAGATTGAAATTAGATCAGGGATGAAAAAACCTCAGAGGAACCATCTTCTTCAGGAATGTTCTTCGGTTCTACTTACGAGTGAAAAAGGGTCATGGTAATTGTCACCTTATAATAAGTAGTCTATTTAGCTATAGGAATACCGTAGTATAAGAGCCCTTCACTGATTACTAGCTGATCATTACCTGCATCTTCGTCGTAAAGCTGCACAAACGCTCCAGGCTGACGAATACCGCGACAACTGACGATGCCTTTCACGGCTACACTCTGTTCACGAAATGTTCCAGTTGTAAACGATATCAAGAAAATATATTGGACCACAACAGTTACTGCCCAAGACCGTATCAACATATCTGTAAATACAGGGTTCTAACTGTGAATAGCGGAGAACAGTCATAAAGCAATGTTGAAAACAACTACATAGAACAGAATGTTCCGACACAAACACGAAGCCGAATGCCAGCACTGCCGAGTCATCGACTTTTATATAACAACGCCGTCGGGCGTCTAGAAATTCGGCATTTTAGTCAGAGAAATAAAACAAACGCTCGAACTGCTTTTGTACTCCGAGGGCATCGATCAGCGTCATGATCAGAAAGGAGACAATAGCCGAGTTGTTGCAATGGTGAGTCGTTACGGTGTTACCGTTAGATCAAGTATCAAACTTTCCAAACAGTGAATAAAAAAGTATAATAATTGTTTATGATTAGAATTTTTGTGCCGTGCGAGGTTGTTAGGTGGAACAGTTTATTAGTCAACGGCCTAACGTTTCGACGTTCTCATCTTCTTCAGAGGCTCAAAGCAGCTCGAAACTATTCGCACAGTATCCAAAAAGCGCATTACCCCTGGCGAATGTTAGGGCGAATTCAGAACCCATAATTTGAAGTATAACTCACCAAAGTTCCACCGCTCAAGCGGATATAAAATCCGCTGTCGCCACAGGCGACTGCCAGTAGCGAATTAGACTTACTGGCTGTATGCCTTACACTCGTGATAAGGAACATCACATTATAATGCTACTGAGTCACAAGTCGCAGAGCGGTATATATGGAGAAAGATCGTTGGTTATGGACGGACACTCATCTCTTCGTTCATTTTAGGATTTCTTTGGAAAATCCAGAACGCCTCTAATGCCTTTCTCGCTGGAATCTCCATCTCTTGCGCTAATATCGTGCACTTAATTTCGAAGTTGTTGCCGTTATGCTTCTCAGTTTACTTTTTCTGCTTTGAAAATGCTCCGCTGTATCGCACTGCTGACTTTATCGGAGATGAAGGGAAGGCATAGTGTTAACTAATTTTGGGGTGTCGCACGCTGCATATTAGTGCGAGGTTTTCTTCAACCTTGTGAAGCCGTATAACCGTTCACAGCAGCTATCTCATAAGCTGAACGCCCGGCTTGTGAAGCTGTATAACCGTTCATAGCAGCTATCTCACAAGCTGAACGCCCGTCTTGTGAAGCCGTATAACCGTTCACAGCAGCTATCTTACAAGCTAACGCCCGGGTTTCAGCCGTTCTGCTTCACCCGTGCAGACACTTGTTGTGGTTCTCAACATATTGCTGACGAGTGCACGTTTAACGGTTTGCGGATAAACTGATGTAGCGTGGAGTAAGATATTCTTAGAACTAGTTTTACGGTACCACTTCACACTAACAACGCCACTGGATACTTTGACCTGAGTGTTGAGATAAGGGAGCCAATCATTACGTGGAACCTCTCGAGTGAATTTACGTGCTGTGACTGTTCATCCATTGTACGAAAACACACGTTCATTTCGAATCGTGTTGATGTTACGATGAAATGGTCATCGATATATCTACAGTACATTAAAGGATTTCGTTCAAGTACCGGTTCGTCAATTTTGCCCATCAAGTACACAGCAGGAACCGGTGCTAGTCGTTGTCCCATAGCAAGACCTCTGACTTGAGAAAGGTACTCTCCCGCCCATTTGAAGATGTTGCACGTTAAGCATTCCTTGACCAACGTCATTATATGCATTTTACTAAGTCCGAAGGTATTAATATTATTAGCATACCTATATGGCAATTCAGATAATGCTTGAGAGGCCTGCTCGTTTTGGACTTTAGTATAAAGCGAAAAGATGTCGAAAGATTTGATTACACAATTCTCACTGAGGTTTGTGCCATGTAATAGTTCAAGAAAATGCTCAGTACTGGGCAGGTGAGATGGGACCATGGGCAACAGCTGGTTTACAATATTATTGAGAAACCACGAGATTCTATCAGTTGGTTCTCCACACAACTAATAATGGGCCGAATTTTGAATGTATCCGGTGATGTAGGCAATGCTTCGTTTAAGGAGAGTTTGTGGGTCTTTGTGATGCTATAGGAATTTTAACAGTATGGACTATCCATTTTGAGTCTACTGACCAACTTTTCATCAATACCCGCAGACTTTGCGGCCACCTGACAACCTCGCATGGCACAAGAATATTCTAATCATGAACAACTATCCTGAAGTTAAAGCAAGAGAGAAGTTGTAGACTATAAAAATTGTATCACCTATAAAAGGGTGAAAGATTAAATGTCTTGGGCGTTAACCTCTTCTGAGGGGATGCCCCCCCCCCGCCTTAGACTTCTATTTGAAATCATTGTGACGTATTGAATGCGTATGTAAACACTGATCTTTGCGTTTCTGATCGTTTACTATTCAGAAGCAATCCATTATATAAAAAGCTTACCTATTCATATTTTAGCTTTGTAGTATCTGTTGGGGAATGATAGTACATAGTGTCTACTATCATGCCGTATCATTGCGTATAAAAGTGTTCTATTGAGCATGATTCATTCTTTGTATCAACTCCAATAAAGGCTGCGCTAGTCGTCTGTGGAGTTAGAACAAGTGGCGATCAGGACAAGATTGAAGAATCAGCGAAGACTTCAGCGGCAAAGTTATTCCAAGAAGATAAGTAGATAAGATGCCCAAGTCATCTGGAGATGGAACTGCCCCTGCTCCCACCACACAGCTCGAGGTATTCATTCAAACTATGGTACACTAACTCAATTTCAGCATGATGAGATGAAAATGTTGTTTTCCTCGTTGGTGTCGAAAGAGAAGGCGCACAAGAGATCCAGAAGAATCAATATGACCAGTTTAACAAGGATATCGAAGAGATTGTAGCAGATGAAGATGCTGGACAGACTTTTGACTACTGGTTCAATAGGGTTTTCAGACTGGCATAAGAGATTCGAGTTTCCAGAAGATAGGAAGAGAGATCCTATCCTACTGAAGCTCGATGATGCCGCATATCGTAAGTATGCAGATGATATTCTACCTTCACAACCGCACGAGATTGATTTCAACAAGAAGGTGAGCAATCTCCAGAAGATGTTCACATCCAAGAAAACTTTGATAGTAGGCGTTGCGGTGTTCGAGGATAAAGTGCCCTCCAGTCACTCCTGATAACGTACCATTTCGTGATTACTTGAATACAATCGAAAGGATGGATAAAGAAGCTGCGCTGAAGGAGATGGATTACACGTCAGTGAAGACCTTACAATTCGTGGCGGGACTTCAGGACCCTTCACTACGAGAAGTACGTCTCTGAATGCTTCGTCGTCTCGATACGCAAGCAGAAGACGCGCCCCTCACAGTTGAAGGTCTTGTTGCAGAATGCGAAAACATCAAGCATTGAAGGTGGATAACGCAAACATGGAAGCAAGTCATCATGTACATGCCGTGCAGAAAAAGAAGGTCAAGTGTTTCAAATGTGGAGGGCCTCATTACAAAACAATCTGTTCACTTCTCGTGAAACAGTCTCCGAAGAGACCGAAGAGGATGCACCACCGTCACAAGAGTAATAAATGCAAAAATGTTGCCACATTATCCGCTGAGCACGCTAGGACATATATCAACGTTGTTGTCCGAGGCCACAAACTACGTTTCCAACTGAACACTGAAGCAGATATAACGATGGTATCACGTCAACATGGAAAAACTCAGATTCCCTCCTTTGGGACCCTACACTACGCCAGTCAAGACGGCAGATGAATCGTCACTGAAGGTAGTTGCAAGATTTCATAGCGAATTCTCTGTGAAAGACCGCAACAATGGTAATCAACGTTACGGAAATGGCTATGGTTACGTTACGGAGGGCACAAAACTACTTTGTTCAGAGTGGTGCACTCAACTCTCTGCAAACAAAATGTTGCAGGAGAAGTATCACTGCCGAATGGTAAAGGAACCAGAAGCTATCAGGAACTCCTTAGTTGCAGATCTGATGAACCAGAGTGCAGAGGTCCTCGAAATGTCGTCGACCACAAAAAAAGCAACTTTGAGAGAGCTCAAAATGCTATTCTTTGGGAGAGCTCAAAATGCTATTCGCACGGTTCGAGAGTTCAAACGTGATTGTGTCAGGCAATGGAGCACAGCTCACACCAGAAAATTTCCAAGAGTCTTGTGACAAACAAGGTATAAAACATTTCCGTTCACCGGCCCTCCAAGGACAAGCAGAGCGTCTCGTCAACACTGTGAAGAGATCCCTACCCAAATCAAAGGAGAGAGGCAAGTCAGAATTCCTTGCAGAGTTTCTGAAGTGCTATCGAAGGACGCCGTGTATCAAAACTCCCGAGCAACTTTCACAAGCAGAATTATTGACGCTGCTGAAGTAAAAGGGACCACGCAAGACAGCGGTGGGAAGACAGTACAATCTACACCATGGAGCACGTGAAAGGTTGTACCATATTGAAGATCCAGTCTATATTCGGAACTATCATCCTGGACAGCAAAAGAGGATTTCTGCCTACGTGAAAAACCGTTATGGACGAGTATTGTACGACGTTTTGACGGAAGACGGGCAATTGTGTAGAAGACACACTAACCAAATGCGACCCAGATCACAAAAAAAGTGCCACCGATCAAGCAAAGAGAACTGTTGGTGAACCTCCCCAGCATGAAAATCCCCACGAAGAGTATAATGAAGTGCACAATGAAGAAGTGCAGCCCACAAGACATCCCTGTAATGAAATTATGAATCCAAATGCAACCGTCACAGTATTAGATAGAATGAACCGACAACGCCGTCCACCCGATCATCTTCAAGTACGCTTGAGGAAGAAGACATATATGTGATACATTCATCATAGGGGGAGGTGTTGGGGAAAATAGTACATAGTGTTTACTATCATGCCGTATCATTGTGTATAAAAGAGTGTTCTGTTGAGTATGGTTCATTCTTCGTATCAACTCCAACAAAGGACTGCACTAGTCGTCTGTGAACTTACAACACTATCCTCCATTAAGTAATGCTTGAGAGTCCTGATTTCCGTAAGCACTGAAGAAGCTGGGTAAGTGGCTTCAGACGCTTCTTCAATCTCTTTTATGATGAACCAA